TAGTAGTAGTAGTAGTAGTAGTAGTAGTAGTAGTAGTAGTAGTAGTAGTAGTAGTAGTAGTAGTAGCAGCAGCAGTAGTAGTAGTAGTAGCAGCAGCAGCAGCAACAGCCGCAGCAGCAGCAGCAGCATCAATTGACTCCCTAAATTATTATTCACTTTGAAGTATTGGTCTGGTGATTTTACTTTTTCGCGATCGTATAATGTTATTGCTTGTATTCTGGCCCAGTAATCCAATAACATTGATCAATATGTGGTTACTGTTGCTATTATAGTAATACTGTTAACGGGTTATGGTGAGGGCTGTGGCTAGGGTTTCGCGAAGCATTAGAGCAAGAATTAGAGTTTGGGTTCAGTTTAGGATTACGCTCGTAGTTTTTATTTAACCTTACACCTAAGTCATCCCCTAGTCACACCCTCCCATAAAACATAACCAAATAGGGCTAGGGTTAAGAGTTGGGTTTTGTGTTAGGATTTGTATAAAGCTTATGGTTTTTTACATGATCCCCTAAACCTTAACCTAACCACAGACCAAACCTTAACCTGTATCATCGTAATGCAGGAAGCAGCGCGGAGACCAGATAGTTCCAGCAAACATGTGGGCTCATAACAGAGAGCTATTATTCGTCCGAAGATTACCTTCCCCGGAATGATGGCGGTTCTTCTAGCACTGAGCTTGGCGTAAGACGGCTCCTCAATCTCACTGTCTCCTGACTGTTTCCTCTGTAACGTAACAACATAGGAGTTTACTGAGCGCAGTGACAGTGTAGAGAGCATAGGAAGCTGACAGAGAGAGAGAGAGAGAAAGAGAGAGCGAGAGAGAGAGCCCGCATGGCCGCTCGCGAGAGAGGGAAAGAGCGAGAATGAGTGCGCGAGACAAAAATGTGTGAAAGAAGGAGAGATTGCCAGAGAGTGAATGAGAGAGCGTGAGAGTGAGAAACCGCGCGTGCGAAAGCGATAGAAAGAGAGCGTGCAAGGGAGGGAGACCATGAGAGAGAGAGCGCGCGAACGCGTGCGCGCGCGAGAAAGAGAGACAGAAAGAGAGAGACAGATTGAAATCGCACGCTAGAGAGAGAGAGAGAGAGCGCGAACGAGCGAGCGAGAGAAAGAGAAATATATATATATATATATATAGAGAGAGAGAGAGAGAGAGAGAGAGAGAGGGAGAGAGAGAGAGAGAGAGAGAAGGAGGAGAGAGAGCAAACGAGAGCAAATGGAGACGACATAACTAAGGTCAATACCTAAAGGCGTAGACAAAGTGCTACAACATTGCTACTCGCCCCTCTGTTACTCAGTGGGCGCGAGAGACAGCGAGAGAGCGAATGTGAGAATGGGAGGGAAAGAGAAGGGGAGATAGAGAAGGAAACATAGAAAGAAAGAACGTGCCAGAAAGACAGAGGGCGCGAGACAATGAGAGAGATAGATAGAAAGTATAAAAAAATGACATAAGTGAACGAAAAAAGAAAGACAGCCAGACGGAGCGAGGGAAATAAAGAAAATGAAGGAAAGACAGCGAGAAAAATAAAGAAAGAGGGAGACGGGCAGACAGGCAGACAGACAGACATACAGACAGGCAGACAGAGGGAGAGAGAGAGAGACAGAGACAGAGAGAGAGAGAGAGAGAGAGAGAGACAGAGGGAGAGAGAGAGAGACAGAGACAGAGAGAGAGATATGCGACGCAACTAGCGGTGACGTTGGGTGATGGACTTTATCGACTTCCTCCCGCGTGTTACCTCACCTCATCTAAGTGGCTGTTCTGTCGGAAGGAACTCTGGGATGGCATCGCGTTGCAGTCATCAATATCACTTTCTGTCGCCTCTGCGAGAGAAACAAAAGCAGTTGCGAATGCGAAAACGTTAAGAAAAACACCGTCGGTGCAATTGATTCTACATTCGTACTCAGACATGGCCATATACATGCCTATACATGCTGAGACATGTCTATACATGCTGATGCATGCCCATACATGCTGATACATGTCTGTACATGTTGAGACATGCCTATACATACTGAGACATGCTCATACCTGCCAATTCATGCTAAGACATGCTCATACACGCCAATATATGCTGCCACGTGCTCATACACGCCAATATATGTTGAGACATGCTCATACCTGTCAATATATGCTGAGACATGCTAATACCTGCCAATATATGCTGAGACATGCTAATACCTGCCAATATATGCTGAGACATGCTAATACCTGCCAATATCCGCTGAGACATGCTCATACCTGCCAATATACGCTAAGATATGCAAGAACACGTTTCAATACGTTCAGATACGTTTAGATAAGTTCAGGCCGGCTTGAACATATCGAAACATGCTCAAGACATGTTTCAACATGTTCAAAGATGTTGCGATGCGTTATGAATGCGTTTCCCTGTGCGAGCAACGAAATTCCCAGTCCTTAAACTAGAACTTCCTCGCAACGCTGCCGAACTTACGCCTGACGTACTTCCCACAGAATCCCACCCGATACGCGCAGCGTTCAGCAACCTAGCAGCAGTTACTCATTAGATGCCCGCCTACGCGCGGCTGGTTGTACACGCTTCCACATACACATCACTGATGTATAACGTCAATGATAACCAAAGTTATGCCTGTGCTCTTATCCCCACAGACAAAAGCCTCAGTATGCCGAAGGTCGTCGGCTTTTTGTAGAGAAATGACACATGTAGCATATATATATATATATGTGTGTGTGTGTGTGTGTGTGTGTGTGTGTGTGTGTGTGTGTGTGTGTGTGTGTATGTGTGTGTGTGTGTGTGTGTGTGTGT